CATTACGAAGCTTGCCATAGTTCAAGTTGCAAGGGGACTTGTAACTGGAAGAAAGTGAGAAGATTATGATAAGCTTCCCATATAAGGCATTTACACACTGGAGAAGATTATCTCCACTCCTTTACTTCACTGTTCTTCCATAGATGTTTCATGAGTGAAGACAGTATGACTAATTATAGAAGATGATAAATTCATTGAAAATAATATTCTAAGGATAGAGATCGACATGTATTGACCACATCAGCCATTTCCCCCCTCTAGTTGTAAACATAGGATGGAACACTCAGCTATTCCCAAGTGCCAACATTTTGAGGCTAAAAAATATTAGGACGTAATTTCCGTGTGCTGCGCTGGTGCCGGCTCGCCAGAGCAGCTTCGTCACGCTGGCCACGTGACCCGGAAGTGTCTCCGGACAGCGCTGGCCCCCGGCCTCTTAAGTGAGATGGGCGTACAACCCTAGAGTCGGACACGACTGGCCTTCGGGCAGGGGTACCTTTACCTTTACCTTTCTTATTTCTTACATGCTCCTCAGTTACAAATTATTGGTGTTTGAGGAGACACTTTGAAGTTACTTTGCAGGTTGTTGAATCTGAAGTATGATGATCTTAGCTTTTTGTTTGTTATCGATTCTGATCTTTGAGTGTTTGTATCTAGCATTCTCTTCTCTTCTGAAACTACTTGAGTGAGTTCTTAATTTGAGGAGTAGAGAAATAAATGAAAGTCATGATGTCTTTTTTTAGTACTATTCGCCTGAAACACAAAATTATGCTTCCTGGGTGAGGCTAGCATATGGAACTTAGCCAGTGAAGGGCTGAACTCAATGAGATAAAAGGATGATGCCCAGTAGGTGAGCTCAACCACAGCCTATAAAAGAGTATTCAGATAATTTCTCTCCTCTCTTCTATTGCTGACTGTTCTGGCCTCATTGGCAGCTGTAGCACACTGACCTCTCTTTTTCCAAAGTAGTTGTGCTAATAATTATCTCAGTAGACAAGCTTGAGTGAGTGGAACAGATTAACCCCATCTGGCTACCTCAGGCTTCCTCAACCTTGGCCCTCCAGCTGTTTTTGGCCTACAACTCCCATGATCCCTAGCTAGCAGGACTAGTGGTCAGGGATGCTGGGAACTGTAGTCTCAAAACATCTGGAAGGCCGAGGTTGAGGAAGCCTGGGCTAGCTAGTCTACTACAGTTCATTCAGATATTTCCCCAAACCCCATTTTTTCTGCAAACCCTTTGGCTTACTGCAAGTGCTATGAGCCATTGAGCCTGGTAAGAAGACCCATCCACTTTGAACTGTATTTAATCCTATAACTGTGGCCTTTTGGATCAGAATGAGTAATGAAGATTATTTTTGCAGCAATTTGTTTTTGAAATATTGCATACTTTGTTTATTGTGAGCCACTTTGGGCACATATTTTACTGTGAAAAAGCAACACAATAGCATTCTCCTCATGCAGATCCCTTCCCAAATTCCAACTGTACTGTATTCTTAATTTGTCTATCTGGATTTTGGCTACAGATAAAGCTAGTCTGTCTGTATTGTTTGTAATTGTATATATATACCATACTGCAGGCATCCTTTACATCTTCAGTATGACGATAGATTATTTCAGTATTGGTATTTTTTCTTGGCAGTCTCAAAGACAAATTGTTTCGATATAATTGATAAGAAAACTTTCAGTATCAGTCTGGCATCCACACAATGTAACTTTATTCCCTTCCCTTTCCTCTGTCTCAGATGATATCTGAAACAGAATATTTTTATGCTTCAGGGAATAGTTTATAACTTTTAGGGATAAATCAAATTGACCCATAGAGAAATATATGTCATCTATCTTCTTTACTGGAACTTATAACTCTATAATGCATTAGGCGGAATATAACTACATTACTAATATGCTGCATGTACAAGTATACAATAACATGTTATATAATAACTTAAATAATATTTCATTGTCAACAATCTGGCAACTGCTGGCTTTTTAAAATAAATTGTGGAAACAGAAAGCTGTGCTTTTATATACACAATAGGATAGTTTCTGATATGTATGAAACAAAAAATCTGTCATAGCCATTGTGTTTGATCAAACCATACTGAACATTTTGAAAGAGCTGATTAATGCATGAGCAGAAAGTTCTGGATTGTAAAGTATATCCAAGTTGGTATATCATTTCACAAGTATTAACTGTTCTCACAACATGGCTTCCATGTATGACCTTAATGTCATTTTATGATGGTTCCTGAAGGCACTTCGAAAGCATTAAATATATTCAAAGAATAATTCCTTTTGCTGCCATACATTATAAAACTTCAATCACAATCTTGCTCAGCCCAGCAATGTACTAAATTTATATACAGAATTTCTGCTTTAGCATACTTTAATCTAAATGCTTAAAGTAGGTAACACTGTAGAATAAAATATATTATTATTATATATGTGAAACTGACAACCATATATAAAGCACAAGTATCAATCCTACATTTGTTTTTAGCTAACCACCAAAAGCCATTTTAAATTCAAAGGTCTTACAATATTTCCAGATGGCTCCTGGGTATGCACTTTTGGCAAATCTCCAGAAGAAAGAATATCCATGAATGTAGGGCAACCACCAGGAATACATAGATGCTTGATGTACTAATTTGGAGATTTGGTCACTAGGATTGGCTGGTTCGCAAGCTTTGTTAGTAAATTGACAACTTTAAATTAAAATCCATCCTTAGCTGAAACATTTATTTACCATGGACAACCCCATTCTAAGATTACTCTGCTGTACCTTTTTAAAAGCAACCCTTGTTCCTAGTCTATTGTCAGGGACAGGCTGGGCACTGAGTAGTGGTGGCTGGATACTGGTGAGTGGCCATTGGGAGAAGGTGTGTTGGAAGAAGTGATCATTGATCTGGGGGAGCCTGTAACCAGCCAGGAGACGAGTCAGGAGAAGCTGCAGGACTGGAGAGTGAAGAACAGGTTCAGGAGGAGAGAGAGATAGGTCAGGCTGGTGGAGAATCAAGGGCTTCCCTACCTCCTCCTCCTGTCCCCATCTCTCCTGTTCCATTGTCTCAAAAAAATCAACAACAACCAGAAGAGGGTTGAAGTGGGAGGAGCAGAAACTCCAGAGTCTTTGCCTGCTTGTTTACAGCTTGGGTGGAGGGCGATACATGAACCAAGTTGGGGGGCTTGGACCTCTCTGTTGCTGCAACTGCCTCATCGGGTGCGCATCTAGGAGTAGCTGACAGATGTAGGACTGATGGACATACCATTCCCTAACCTTTGACAACGAAGAGTCAATTCCTCACTCTTGACATTCCTTTCCTGAGCTCCTGACATCTATTGAGAACTCTCCCACTACTTTCTACACTCAGTGTCCTTCCGTTCTAGCTCCATGCCACAGCCACTGCTTTTGTGCAACTTGCCTTCTCTTATGCTCAACAACCCCACCCTGACTTCATGCACATTCAGGATTCTGATGCGGCACTACAAATCTTACATTTTTATTATACAGTAAGCTGAGTCATGACAATGAGTGACATCACCACCTCACAGCCTCCGGAAAACTTATGACATAGAACTTATTAAATAATTTATACCTCATTTTAAATTAGTCCCATGGGTCTCTTGAGATAGCTTCACTAGAGGAACAGAAACATTAATGCTTGTCTTTACAAAATATACATAAATATGCACTCATTTTAGGAATTGCGGCCAACTCTTATCTGTTCAGTTAATACACAATTGAGTGCCTTGAGTAAGGTCAGTTATTGAAACATATTGTGTTGAATATTCCCAACAGATGATAAAAAGATCCTCCTTTAATATTTAAATACCTTTTTCAGTAGCCTTCCACAATCACTGAGAAATTCATTCTTTTACCTAGACAAAGCAGATTGTTTATCACAGTGTTTTAATTCTGTATTATTTTAGTTTTGTTTTTTGAAATATGGATTATAAAATAATCCAGAGAGATACTTGAAGTTCATTGAACAAGGGAGTCTCCTAAAGGTTTATGGAGGAAATAAGGTTTGACTTCTTTTTTTGTAAAGACAAAAATCTCATAAAGCAGCGATTAAAATACCTACTGGCTTAACAAATTAAATGTTACAAATACACTGTACCACCACTTCTTGGGACCTGTTGTGAGAAACCAAATTAGATCTTGTTATGCAAGTGTCATGTTATCTGGATTAGTCTGCACAGATCCTTGTGCTGAATAATCTCTGATTTTGAGTCAAATATGTAATAGAATGGAAAATAGTGTTAGAAAGCTGTTTGGATATGTTAATGGGCTTCTGTACAAAATAAGCTATTTATATATTTTTCGTTAGATGAAATTAGCCTCATTGTTGAAATACTGATTGGAATCTGATTAGTACAAAAATAGCACTGAATTCCAGTTTCCATTAATTAGCAGCATTTCTGCTACTTGTGTTCTGTGATTTATTCTATTTTGCAGCCTGATACTTTGTAGTCTTGAATACAGAAACTTTAATTTAGATGTTGCAAAGTAAGGTACAGTACAATAGTTTTTGTTTTCTTTAGCCCAGAGTTACCGCAAAAGTCTGGCACCAGGTTTGGATTCTGGAGAGCAGACCCTGAGGAACTCAATATGTGTGTGTGTAGTTCTAGGCAAATAATAATGGAGTAGCCAAAAAGCACCACTCTTTCTATTGGTGAGACATTGATTTATGAAGAGCAACACTACAGCTGAAAATTCTGGGTATTACAAGAAATGCCACAGTTTTGGAAGTGTTTGTGTGTATAATTTAGATGAGTTATTTCTGCAGCTGTCAATATTGTAAGAACAAAATATGCCATACTAAAAATGCTTCCAAGTGTTCTGAGTTTGTGAACTGTCAAGTAGATCTGCAATAAAATAAAATAAAAAACACTGTCCATTATAAGTATTTGTATTTATCATAGTTTTACAGATTATAAATTATTGTTTTTAATCAATGTAGTTGGCCTGTGGGTTAAAACTATACTTGTGCTTTCTTTGATCATAGTTTTGTCAGCCTGGAGGATGGCATCTGTCCAGAGAGAGGAAGCAGCCTACGTTCTTTGTGGTGGTGCTCACAGATATAAACTCTGAACGGCATTATTGCTCTTGCCTGACTTTCTATGAAGCAGAGATCAATCTTCAGGTAAATATCTTATTGAATCATTCACACAGCGCATGCACACAAACCTAGGAACTCACTCCTACAAGTTCTTCAGTCACATATCCAGCACTTAATGTACCTCACTCATGCACATTTCATCTACAGCTTCAGTTGCCTGGCCCATAATAACTGGGGATCTGAATTAAAACAAATGTTTATGCAAACTCAAATATTATTCAATAATTTTGGTGTACTTAACTGTCTTCCAATTTACATTTGGCTCATTAACCAGTTGAATGGTTTCTCTCTGGAGATTGTGGAAGGAGTCCATGGAGGCTTTTAAGAAGAGGTTGGATGGCCATCTGTCATGGATGCTTTAGCTAAGATTCTTGCATTGCAGGGGGTTGGACTAGATGACCCTTGGGTCCCTTCCAAAGCTATAATTCTATGTTCAACGTCTTTCCCTTGAGTCTTAGTAGTAGGGTTTAAAGGGATGCTTATTTGAAACCTCTTTGTTACTTCTTCCCCCTCGCCCCCCAAAAAACTAGTTTCTGTTCAATGTAATTTGTATATTTATAGAAAGCAGTTCATCATGGTATTTTTATTTGCTCTCTTATTTGTGGTTTAACACAGGTTCTTAGTTCTACATTTCAGAATGATTTTAAAAACACATTACTCCCTCTGCTGGATGTCTGTGTATTGGAATTGATTAAAACATAACAATTTTATTTTTATACATGTATTATATAGCATTAACACAATACAGTACAAAGCAATATAGTACAAACCATTATGGGATGATGGTCAATGCTAATATACTGCCATTGATATAGAAATATCAATTGTAAGGGTTTGCGTGTTATTCATGTACACATATTTCCATAATTAGAACATGTACTTTCTTACTGTTTGCATGTTTGTTTAATCAATTATATTTAAAATGCTTCACTCCCACCCCATGTTTAGATCTGTGAATACATTCCTAAAAATAGAAAAGTTAGGTTAGATTTTGGGTGTAACCTTCTTGGCAGTTCCCCTTTAAAACATGTGTATTACTAATTTCTGGACAGTTTAAAATGCTTGCTGAAGTAATTTACCCAAATTGGAAATTTTAAATGATTTCTCTATGACACATTATTTGGAATCCTTTGTAGAGAGAATCTAGGGACCAAGATATCGCAACACTTAATTGTGAAATTTATTATAAATTGTTTGAAACTGCTTCTTTCCAACTTGCTCTTTGGCTAAGGCTAAGGTCATTCCAGTATTGAACATGATAGTGAGCTTCAAGAAGTTAATGGTTGTTGCTAGTTAGCAAAAATTATTAAATGGTTTGGAGTAATATTTTAACAGAGATAAGTGTATGTTTGGTCTGAGTCATTTTCAGCTCTGTTTATCCCTAAGTCCTGTTTCTGCAGGAATCTGTGAATTAAAAAAAAATTATGCAAGTTCACATTTATCTATGCATTTTGTACGAAATATGTATTTTTAAATGCGTTTTCTCTCAAAATAAGTAATTTCAGATGCATTTTTATGGATGTTGAACCAAGAGCTACATCACTGAAATTGGAAAAAAGCAAAATCCCAAAAAATAAACATGGTTATTTTACATGAAATATTTTAATGCAACATTTACAGGCAAATGTCTTCCAAAGATGGTGTGTGTGTGTGTGTGTGTGTGTGTGTGTGTGTGTTACACACCCACATTAAACACACTTAATTAAAGCTAACTAAATTAAAAGGAAAATGTCCAGCCAACCCAAAACCAAATAATGACAAAGTACATTGGCAATCCCACAGAACAAAGCCTGATTTCAGGCAACAGTCAAGTATTGTTTTTTAAAAAACAGATGTGTTTTTAAAAAACGTCTTGCAATTGTGTACGGATGATGCTTGATGAACCAGCTCTGCATTCTTGAGATGTGGAAGCACAGCTTAAAAGGCCCAGTGCTCAAAGATAAGCATAAGAGGAAGGCCTCTACGTGGTTGATCTTGGCGTGCAGACAGGGTGATCTGAGTGAAGCTGATGCTTCAGATAGCTATGTTTTGATCCATAATGCAGTTTGTAATAATCTCATATTAGATAATGTCATATTAAAGCTGTCTGATTCTTTCTTTTTCTCTCTCTAATTATTTTGTTATGTCTTTGTAAACTGTGTTTCTGCTTTAAATTTCCATATACTTCAATTCTCAGTGACAAATTAGTCCGCCCCTGCCCCCCCCCGAGAAATGGCAGTTCCAAGGAAGGGCTTTGTACCATGCTATTCACCATTACATGACATTGGGCTTCATTTCAGTTTGGGAATTTCAGGAATTGTTGCCTGCAAGGGAGAGGCAAAGCCTAGATATGTACTTAACCACATAATCTGAAGAGAACATTAAAATGAAGCACAAACTCTGATAGACTGCAGTGAGATTTACAGAGCAATCCTTTGCATGTTCACAGAAAGTTGGCCAACTCTTATTTAGTGGTATTTTCATAATCCCAAGTAAGCATACCCAGGATTATACACTCAAAAATCTAAATGGTTTGGAGACCAATCTTGTACTTAACTACCCAGAAGCTCCCAGAGCGTGGTCTGAAGGCACAAGAGGCCACCACTGCCCTGAAGCTAAGCATGTTTGAATCTGAATAAGAATCATATTCATAAAGTGAGCCCTATTGAACTCAGTGAGACTTACATCTGTGTAACTATGAATAGAATTTCAATATTATCTTTTTATTACACCAAGAACAGAATGCATGCGTCTAAGGTCTCAAAATTAGATCAGTAGTCACCAGAAGAAGGCAAGCAGGAGCTCACAGAAAACAAAGGCCATGTACGCATGCTCTTCCCTTGTAGGTGGCAGATATCAAAATACATACTGGATTTAAAAGTTGACTACTTCTGTAGCATGCTTTGCTGTTAGTGTGCTGCCACAACTTTCTGCTGCTGTTACTGAGGCTGGAACCTCCTTCTGTTAACAGAACTCTTTCTCCATGAAGAATGAAATTAAAGCTCCTTCCATTCATAGTGTGAAAATATTGGAAACAACCCAATATGACCAAGCCTTCTAATGTAAGAGATGTGAAGTAGCAAAGTTTTACATTAAAACTGAGCTACTAAGTTCTGGCAGTAGAAGGCAAAACATATAAGGTGTTATTCCCACATATTTTGGTCTGTATAATACACTTCATTGGAAGGTTTGGCTGCTTTCTGTAGTAAAAGAAGAAGAAGAAGAAGAGTTTGGATTTGATATCCCGCCTTTCACTCCCCTTCAGGAGTCTCAAAGCGGCTAACATTCTCCTTTCCCTTCCTCCCCCACAACAAACACTCTGTGAGGTGAGTGGGGCTGAGAGACTTCACAGAAGTGTGACTGGCCCAAGGTCACCCAGCAGCTGCATGTGGAGGAGCGGAGACGCGAACCCGGTTCCCCAGATTACGTGACTACCGCTCTTAACCACTACACCACACTGGCTCTCACCTAAAAGACACCTAAAAGAATTTAGCGGCTGATACAAAATGCAAAACCATAGATGCATCACTTGCAATGCTTTTAAAAGCAATTCAAATGAAAATACTGTATACACAGTTAAATCTTAAATTGTCTGCTTTTGTTTGTTCTTCATGAGTGTGGTTAGAAGTTCTTTTATTGAGATTCCAGAACTAATATTTTAAAATTGTTCTAGAGTTTCTGTGGTCTGGAAGAAGTGCGTGAATTTATTCGGAGCATAACAAAGAGGCTAAGGGTTTATAACTGTTTGTCGGTGGCCCTGAGTTGTTAATGTTAAAGGCATTGCCCTATCTATTTTAGGCTTCTTAAATACTCCTGCATTTTTTAATCATAGGTGCATAGAATATGTCTGATTCTTCTAGGTATGTTGTTGCAATAGTGGGCAGGTGTGTCAGGAATACCAAACATGGACATAGAGGTTCACAGCAATGTTGGTAAAAAGTAACCAAAAACCATTTCACAGGTTTTCTTAGACATTTTTTTGCTTTATCCTTGGTAAAACCCTACTCTCCAAATTCCCGTTAATATGGCCTTCTGTAAATGAAGCATACCCTTTAGTTACATGCACTGCCCATAGTCTTGGTGTAAATTAGATTTCAGATTTTCATAAATCTTTTGAATAGCCTTTATAAAAATGACAGATTTTTGACACTACAGACAATTTTTTTCACATTATATCTCATTATATATCTGCTTTTATAATGCAGCTTGTAATAATGTAGCCATACAACTTTTACAAAATTTCAAACTGGCTGCTACGCTTGCCAACAGGGTCACATTAAAGCAGTCTGATTCTTTTCTCTCTCTAATTTATTTTGTTCTATCTTTGTAAACTGTGTTTCAGTAAACTGCTTTACATTTCCATATTGTTATGTGCCTGTGTGGTTGCTCGAGAGCGAACTGGCAAGACTCTCACCGGTCTTTTCCAGTCTTTATTATCTGTACAAAAACATTTACAGTGCCGAGCGTCTCATGTCCATGTCTGCTCAATCACTAGCAGAATCTGGGAGTGAGCGGTCCTTAAACTTTCCCCAGCATAACAGTCTTTTGACCCCCATCCTTCTCCTCCCCTCTCTGCGCGTAAGCCGACTGCGCAGAGAGGGCGCTGGCAAAGGGGGACTTGCCTCCCCCCTGCTTTTCTCAGGCTCGGTGTTGCGGCTCTCTCTAGCATCTTCCGATCCCTGCATCCCTTCCCCACTGGAGGTGGGGCTTCCCTCCTCGCCGGAGGAAGAGCTGCTTTGCACGATCTTCGGAGGTTCCCTGTAACCCAACTGCCCTTCCACCTCTCACCTCTGAGCTGATGGCAGTTCCCTGACACATATACTTTAATTCTGGTCTACGCGGGGCTGCCCTTGAAGCTGTCCCAGAAACTCCAGCGGGTGCAGAATGCTGCAGCGAGGCTCCTCACGGGGTCTCTGCCATGGGAGCATATTCACCCAGTGCTTTTCAAGCTGCACTGGCTCCTCGGTGGAGTACAGGGTCAGATTTAAGGTGCTGCTTTTGACCTTTAAAGGCCTTCACGGCCTAGGACCCTCGTACCTGCGGGA